CTAGCCTCCCACTAGTTCGAATTAAGTGGCTACACAGCCCTTAATTCGAACTACTTAATTCGAACTAGGCGTTAATCCTCGTGGAATGAGGTTTACCTAGTTCGAATTAAGCGCTCCGCTGCTGGGGAGGGCTAGCCTCCCACTAGTTCGAATTAAGTGGCTACACAGCCCTTAATTCGAACTACTTAATTCGAACTAGGCGTTAATCCTCGTGGAATGAGGTTTACCTAGTTCGAATTAAGCGCTCCGCTAGTTCGAATTAAGTTTGAACTAGCGGTTTGCTAGTTTAGCGCCTATCAAAGTTAATTCGAACTAACGTCTGTTAGTTCGAATTAACTTTGTAGTGTAGACATACCTTCTGACAGAAAGCAAGTACATGGTGTGCAAGATCTGAGGGGTCTGCTAGATGTGTTCAAATTGGATGGGAATAATGGCTAGAGGGCTAGAGCATGGCTAGAGCATGGATGGCATATGAACTGCTGTCTGAGGGAGGCTAGCCCCCAGCTTTGCCCCTTCCAACCAAGGCTCGACCCCTTGCTTACTAATTAAGCAGAGGAAACAACAGGATTGGCAGTAGGGATTGAGACAGCCGTACTTAGTGAAAATGAGCAAGGAAAGAAGAAGTAAATAAACCTACAATCTTGCTTCTCCCTCCCACACACACACACTTTTATTTCAGACTTTACTGTAGAGGTTGTCTGCAATCAGGTGGTTCCATTCTATTTAGGTTTCAGCAGGGAGAGAGTTAAGAACACAGCTACATGCCCTAAGTACAAATCCTATCAAACAGTTTAGCAAAGCTAAGCAAACTGCCATGGGTTAATCCATTCTTCATGCGCATTGTAAGTGTGCTGTGGTGGGAAATAGGACCTGCATTTTACACCCACTGCTCACCTTTAGCCAGGAATCTTTTCATTATATCTTTTCTTGTTTGTTTGTTTGTTTGTTTGTTTGTTTGTTTGTTTCTGAAGCACAGTATCTGTTCCTTGACATGCATTGTTCTCTGGCTCCCAACAAACTTGTGAGTGCCATAAAACAATTAATTATTATTATTTTTTGAA